CATTTTCTACTTTCTGTCCTAAAATCATCCCCAAGGCTTGAACATAGACTGAGCTTCCCCAGTTTTTCCTGAAAACTCTCTCCTGGTTAGAGTTTCATACAGGCCTCAGCTCCATCTGCTTTTTAGCTGCCTACACTACAGATGCCAAGCCCTTGTGCCCAGCACCCGTCCCTGGTATCAGCCTGGCACAGCTGGCTTCTTGGCTGAATGTGTTGTAGCTTTTGAGGATCAGAAGATCAGTTTGCCTGATTTGAATGTGAAGTATGTGCAGCAGACCGTTAAGCCTTGGTCACACCCAATTTCTATTAAACTAACAGCTTTACTGACCATCCCCGCCCCCAATTCAGTGTCAACACATACTAAGGGGGGTTGACTGGTTTTGTTTGGGTCCTGTCCTAGCAGCACTGCCAGTCATGGAAAGAACACGAAGGTGGGAGGCATAGAGAAGTTTCACACACGAAAAATATATCTGATGCTAATGAACAAGCAGAACACTTCACAATTTCCAACACATCCGCATATGCCAACAACCTACTGCATGATGCCAGTATTCTTAGGATATAAGAAACGTGCCTAGATTAAGCACATAAGCAGTCTTTTCCTCTCAAACCTATCTTAATACAAATATGAAGATATTAGTTTATTATATGTGTTAGCTAGCAAAATGGCAAAAGCTTACCATCCTCAAGTTTAACAAACTTGACCTTCAAAATAAAGTGCATTCTCCCCCTAATTATGGAGAACTAATTATGGAAGTGTGGGTGAGGAGTGAAGAAGATGTAGGGGCCGGAGAATTTAGAGCATGGCTTCTGTCCTGGGGGATTCTCTCTGTCTACAAAGGAAGACAGACGTGCAGCAAAGAAACATAATCCTGCATCCTCCCCGAGGAAATTTACAAGAGATGCCGAGGGAGTCATGAGAAGTAGAGGTTAATACTGATTCACAGGATTGGGAAAGACTTCAAAGAGTGGGGAACATTGTGCCAAAAGATCCAGTAACATTATCAGAATGGAGAATAGTATGTGCACTGTACCACCATGCTGTAATAGTGAAAAAACATGTCAAATTGAAAAAAAAAATGAAGTTAACACAGGAAGAAAAAGGATCACAGTAGCAACTAACACTTAGTAAGCACTTACTACGTGGCTTGATGCTGTATAGTTATCTCACTGAGAACTCACGACAACACTATGAGTTGGGGACAATTATCCTCATTACATGGAAGATGAAATGGAGACTCAGAGGGGGTAAGCAACTTGCCAGTGGTCACCGGAAGCAGCAGCAGTGCTGGGATTTGAACCCAAGACCATCTGACTCAACTCTTCACCATCAGATCATATTAATAGTATCTGGCGAGAAAGATACCATAATGATTATCTGGCATCTAGTAAGTTCTTGACATTATTACACTCATGAAATTTCATAAAAGCTTACTCTTCCCGATGTGTAAAGAATTCATACATGCACACGATCAGTACCCAGATTCCCTGCAATACACCAAGATTAGGCCACAAATGATCACATGCAAAACACCATCCCACCAAACATTAGAAAAATTCAAAATGAAAAAAAATTATTGATCTTATTACATATTTGTCATCAGTAACAAAAGTAACTTCAGAAGATAAATCCCAAAGTTGGTGGGAGATGTTAAAAAAGAAAAAGTTACACAGAGCATGTTAGCAACAGACCAAGAAAAAAAATATACATTTGACCTGGTATATTTCTATTTTCAGAAAATTGCTTAAAGGAAGCAGGCCTTTCTGTCAAAATTATACAGTGATTGCTCATAGCAGCACTATTTATAATACCATAGAAACCTGGTAACTCCTTCAAATGTCCAACAAGGGGGAAATGACTAAAACCTATAACACATTAACAAGGTGGAATATTCTTCAGTCATTAAATATTACAAGACTGACATTTTTATGTAGAAATATAAATTTTAAAGTACATTCTAATTAGAAACAAACAAAGCCAAGAGCATAAATGAATTTAGAGGGAAATGAGTCATTCAAGATAAATTGGTCCTGAGGTTATTTCCTTTTTTTCTTTAAGAGATGGCATCTCACTCTGTCACCCAGGCTGGAGTGCAGTGGCATCATCATAGCTCACTGCAGCCTTGAACTCTTGGGCTCAAGTGATCCTCCTTCCTCAGACTCCCAAGTAGCTGGGACTACAGGTGTGTGCCATCACGCTTGGCTTATTTTTATGTTGAGTCAATAAAGTCAATAAGAAAAGAGACTAAAGTATGCTTCCATGGAAGGTGGATGCCAACTTTAAATGCTGATGCTGTCTCTGTATTTGGAAATTTTCTATTCATGTGTGGTGTGGTTTATAACACAGTCTTCTTGAAGGTACAGAAATTTGGCCTGCTGAATAGAATACTGCATCTACTACGACTATCTTAGGCCACTACCCAGCCTCCTTGCACCCACCAAACTGTGCTTAATAAGATCTCCGCCATTAGAATGCTAGCAAACTCTTATCAACTGTCCATTCTCCATCCCCGCTGCCCCGTGGAAGAACAGAACACCAAGTTACATTAGGATTTTTTTCCTAATCAACAGAAGATAAATGAAATGAGCTCATCTTTTTCTGCTAATCATCAGAATTCTCAAATATTGGGCACATTATGCAAAATGCTAAAAATTTATACTGATGACTCCAACTGCAAAATTTAAAGCCCAAAAGGTTTTTTTACCCCAATGCAAACAAAAGCCACTTCCTCATCCAGGGTAAAGACCCAAGTTATAAACATCCCTCAATACAGCAAAGGTGGTCTAGAAATTAAAACTTTAAACAATCTGTATAGGTTCTATTAAATTACAAATTATCCAGATGCCTTCAAGTCTGTTTTCACTCTAATATGCTGGAATTCATAGCCCTTCTGGCCCCCAAAGTCTACTGCTGGCTTTTAATTAGGTGTGAATCTGGACTTAGCCGCATGGAGATACATAATTTCACACGCCTCTGTAGGGCGAAGGCAGCAGCATCTGAAATCAATGCACAGGAACGTTCCCCACTTTGCAGGTCCACGGACTTATCAGAGACAGCAAGAACTGGAGAATTACACGGTCACTTTTACGTGGAAGAGGAAAGCCAGACAGAGATAAAAGGGTACCTTGCCTCAAAGCAAGAGAAAGCCCAGGATGCATACACACAGGAGAAGCAAACACTAAACATTAAAATGTTCAATTTAAAAATGTGCCACTGCGCATGTTTAAAACCATTAGAAAAGAGGCAGGGTGTGGTAGCTCCAGCTACTTGGGAGGCTGAGGCAGGAGGATCACCTGAGCCCAGGAGATCAAGGCTGCAGTAAGCTATGATGACACCACTGCACTCTAGCCTGGGAGACACAGTGAGACTCTGTCTCAAAAAAAAAAGGCATTAGAAAAAAGTGGCAGAAGAGATCTCGCCACACCTGCAGGTTCCAACAAAGCCAACTATTTGCAAACTGGGATGCCTTTCCCCTGTTGGGGGTCAGTCCCCAGAGCTGCACCTCTCAACAGCACAGGATCATGCTGGGCAGCTCCTAGAGCACCTGCCGCTCAGAAGAAATACCGTGTTTCCCCAAAAATAAGCCCTACCCCATAAAATAAGCCCCAGCAGGATTTCTAAGCATTTGCGCAATAGAAGCCCTACCCCGAAAATAAGACTAGGGACGGGCGTGGCTACGCAGCGTATTTGCACAACCCATGCATTTCATCGCGGAGTGGTAAAGACGACGAGCAGCCCTTCTCATTTGCCCCGTGAGCTCTATTGCTCCACATGAGAGATTGGGGCCAGTGGTTCTAAAGGAAATAGAGTCGCAAGAAATTCAGGATGGAATTCGGGGTTTGGAAGAGTTATGATGTTCCAGAAGATGACGACTTAACTATATGTGAATAAATATAGATTGTTGTATCGTATTTAAAAAAAGTAACACATCCCCTGACAATAAGCCCTAGGGTGTCTTCTTGAGGAAAAATAAATATAAGACCCTGTCTTATTTTGGGGAAGCACGGTACAATAAATAGACCAAGTCAGGCTTTCTGACAGGCTCGATTAATATAAAAAAATCTATTTTATGAAGCGACTTTGGTCCCGACCCTTTGATCATAAATTATAACTTTTTTTAGAAAAGGAAGTAGCATGCAGGAAGTAACACGAAAGTCTGTGCAAAAAGCAGGAATAGATCGGGACCTTCTTCTCCAAGCCCAGAAGGTGCCACAGGACACAAATAAGAATTATGCCTAATTATGAAAATACGCCCTTCCCAAATGGTAGTAAGTTGTCTTCAAATGTCATTTTACAAACAGCCAAGGTGAATAAATGCAAATTGAAAAAATAAATTTAAAAGCCAAAAGATGCAAGTCATTAAATGTCACTTAAAGGTACTTTCTGTCATTGAAACTAAAAGATGAAACTTCAAAGTGAATTTAAAATGAAAATAAATACAAAATTATGTAGTTTTAGAAAGTTTACTGTAACTTTTGAGAAAACAGGAGCTGACAATAACCTGGAGGCAGGCATTCGTTTATTGGTTAAAAAATCCGGGTATAAATTAGATGAGAAACTCTCTGTGGAGGTACCCATGGGAGATGCTACAGAACTTGCCAGGGAATTGGCTGGGGCATTTGTAGATTCAGTAGGAATCTTCCCTGCAGAGCCTAGGGTGCCACAGATATTTCCCAGTACTTGGCCACCTATACTCTTAGCGAGTGTTGGGATTCAAAGAGTGGTCCCCAAAACCACAGGGATGCCACATTCTTCTTGTGAACAGGGTTTGCTTCTGACTGACTCAGTTACAGTCAGCCCTCTGTATCTGGATTCTGCATCTGTGGATTCAACTAACTGCAGATTGAAAATTAAAAAAAAGAAATCATGTCTGTACTGAGCATGTGTAAGTTTTCCTTGTCATTATTCCCTAAACAATAGAGTATAACAACTATTTACATAGCATTTACATTGTATTAGCTATTATAAGTAATCTAAAGATGATTTGAAGTATACAGGAGGATATGTGTAGGTTATATGCAAATACTATCCCATTTTATATCAGGGATTTGAACATCCATGGATTTTGGTGCCCTTAGGTGTCCTGAAACCAATTACCCAAGGATACTGAGGGATAACTGACTATAGATCCCCATGAAAATTAGTCAAACTGATAAAACCCCTTGTTAATTGGATATATCCTAAGGCATGAATTCCAACAGCAGCTGCGAACACTTATACCATCAAAAATTGTGAACCTCTTCGAGAACTGCATTTTCATTTTCACCCTATATCCCTGAAAGTCTTCACAATGAAAGAATCCACTGAGTTCTAGGCCATTTTACAATGTAAAGAAAATTTCCATCTCCAGTCATCTGTGAACTTCTCAAGTCCAGTTTCAATTCTGAATGCTGAGACTGCTTTTTAAAAAAAAACAAAAACAAAACAAAACAAAAACTCAGAAATGCCCTTGTATGTCGTGAAGCTTTGAGGACAACTTGGAAAGTCGTATCAGTAAGACAGTACTGTCTACAGGGCAAAGAAAATCAGGCTGATTGGGGTTCTCAGAGATGCTCTTAAACTAGGGATACAACTCGGTACTCATCTTTAGTGACTATTGCAAGGCTAGTTGTCAGACAGCACCAAACAAACTAAACCTCAACATTTCACTTCTGCTTCTTCCTAACATCCTCCAAATTGGTGGCAGTGGTGATAGTTACAAGGCAGAAGGAAAAACAAAGGTCACAATCTTGATTACTCCTGTGATGCACACAGTGATCTTTACCTGTGACATTCTCAGATGCTCCTGATGAATGTTGTAAGGGAAGCCACGCCAAGTGCTGAGCATAGGTGCGCCTGACACCTTCTGTCCCACCCTTCCTGGCAGGTGCTCCAACCTGCAGCCAACAAGCTCAGCTCTTCCTTGGTTAGCCCGGCTCCTGCCAGATGATCATCCTAACAGTAACGCTTGCCTGCTTATTACATAAAGCTTTTGCTTTTTGGTTTGAGGGATGGGAGGGAGAAGGGGACAAGTAAATATCTCAGGTATGCTAAAAAGAGAAGAGCTGCATTTGGTCCATGGGCCCCTGGTGGAGCGTTGCTTAGGTCTCTTCTAGATCAAAGAGTTGTGGCCTCAGATCACAGCGCCTCTTCCAAAGCATTTGGCAAAAGTTCAACCACAGAAAAACCAAAAGGAATAAACTGCTAGTCTTTTCTCTCATATTACAAGCTGATATTTCCCCTTTTAATACTTTTTGGGTGTTTTTTTTGTGTGTGTGTGTGCTTTTTATTCACACACATCCGATCCTCTGTGTCATTCTTCTTGCACCCTTCCTGAGGCTTGGCTATTTGAGTCCTTTTCCTCCTGCATTTCCTGAAGTAGGAGAGCCCATCTGCCTCTTCCTCCTTCCTGCACATTCACCTGCTGAAGCTCGAGGGTCTCAGCATCTCCAGAGGCCCTGAGGGAGGTTCTTTCCCCAAGCATCCAGTGTATGTTGGGATGAGAGGCCAGGTAGAAACCTTGGGAGGATTCCACTTAGAAGTGTGAGATTCCCCCAGACACAAAATAAACATCCTAGGCCAGCAAGTGAACCTGGCTCACGTGGCATTTATTAATATGCAGGAGAAACTGCTCCAGGGAGGGTGCAGGAAGCTGAGTCACCTAGTAAGAAGGGCTTTGCTCTTGGTTCTAAAAGACCAAACAGCAGCAAAGTAAAAGACTGTTCTATATCAATGTTCTTTCAACTTGCTGTTCTTATTATCTTTATCAGTCTTGGGTTAGCCCTGATGCTACACAAACTGCAATAATACATGAATGACAGATCTTGCCTTTAGATTCTGTAAGCAATTTCTCTGCAAAGTCTAAAAATGGGCCACCTCATATCTTAAAAAAGTAGAACCACAGGGCACCATTTATGGCTTTACACAATGTTGAGGCACAGAAAACAATACCCCAATATATGGCACCTGGGCATGCTGGTGCTTTTGAAAAGTGAAGGACCTCAATTTGGCTGATCTGAATCCAAATCCACCCAATAAAGGAAATAAGGCTTAGAACCAAGGTCCCTCTAATCTTATCTCATTTCTCCCCCACCCCCGAGTGCAGGGATGGACTATATCTCTGGAATTTCCTTATCTAACCAACTAAGCTTCTTAACCAAAAGTAGGTAACACAACCTCCCTTCTATGCCCTCCTTGAAATCTTACTGCAAAAAAGATGACTGAGGAATGCAACCACACCTGGACAGACTTTTTCACAAGATAATGCCTGCCTCTGCCTCTCGGGCTCATTCTGATTCCAAAGAGAATCATTTATAAGTTAACTTCTGTCTCCCTGGCCCATTCATCCTCCCTAATAATCATTTACTGCCCCTCAAAAGAACTGTCTACATTCCCTATCTCCTTCCTTCCCTATGAGAAAGGATATATGAGCTTCTGTACCCCATTGGGGGCTTGGGGTCATCATTCTGTGTCCCCCACTCCCATGCATGTTAATAAATTTGTATGCCTTTTCTCTTATTAATCTGCCTGCCTTTTGTCAGTTGATTTTCAGTGACCCTTCTGAGAGCAAAGGAGAAATTTTCCCTTCTTCCCCTACAACAAAAAACATTTGCATCTATGGCACGAGAGCTTAAAAATCTCACTATCCACAGGAAGTTGCGAGGGCTGGTGTAAAAAATGTTGAGACAAATGCATGCAAGTGAATTAACAGTGGGGAACACTGTGAGAAGCTAAAGCTCCCCAAACTGATGCTACAGAGGACAGCTAAGGCCTTCTACAACACTAGTCTCTCAGTGACAATGAAAGACAGTAAAGTGAACAAATTGTTCATCTACCTACTGTCTAGCCATCTACCCATATGTCTAGTGGTCTCTCCTTATCCTTGGTTTTGCTTTCAGAGGCTTCAGTTACCCGCAGTCAACCTGGGTCCAAAACTATTAAATGGAAAATTCCAGAAACAATCCATAAGTTTTAAATGGTGCGCCATTCTGTGCAGCGTGATGAACTCTTGCCCCGCCCCCATCAGTGTCTCCATGCTGTAGTCACCACCTGCCCCGTAGTCACTCAGTAGCTGCCTTGCTTATCAGATGGACTGTCGTGGTATCATAGTCCTTGTAATTCAAGTCACCCTTCTTTTACTTCGTAATGGTCCCAACACGCAAGAGTAGTGATGCAGGCATTTGGATCTGCCAAAGAGAAGCCAGAAAGTGCTTCCTTTAAGTGAAAGGGCGAAAGTTCTTGTCTTAATAAAAGCAAAAAAAAAAAAAGTATGTGGAGCTTGCTAAGATCTATGGTAAGAACAAATCTTGTATCCCTGAAATTATGCAAAAGGAAAAAGAAATTCATGTTAGTTTTGCTGTCGCTCCATACACCGCAAAATGTATGGTCTCAGTACATGTTAAGTGTTTGGTTAAGATGAAAAAGGCATTAAATTTGTGGTTGAAAGATGAGAACAGAAACAGAAAAATGTTCCAATTGATGGCAATCAGGTTCAGTACCATCAGTGGTTTCAGGCATCCGCTGGAGATCCTGGAATGTAACCCCCAAGGGTAAGGGGGACACTGTACAGTGACACAGATACACAGTGAGAGAGACACCCACCCTGGAGCGATGTTCTGGAGTTAACTGATCGGCTGCTGGCTAAGTCCCCTGCTTCTCCACCATGGCCCCATATCTAAGTATGTCCTCAGGTAAATGAGCACGAGGACTGATCACATCATTGACCCTTAAAAGGTCTGATGACCCAAGTCAAAGCTGACTCAGTGCAGAGGGACAGAGGAGCTAAGTCTCTTCCTCCACTGCACCTCCCCTTAGATGCATGCTCTTGCCACTTGGCTCCGTTTGTATTGCTAAGGGTTTTATATAAATACAAATCCACCCAAAAAGGAAAACTATTTCCCCTTTTCCTGCTCTGGATAAAGTTCCAGCAGACTTGGCCAAGGATTAGACAAGCTTCACAGATCAAAGTGTGTTGGGGAGAGGTGCGGGGTGGGAAGGAACAGAGCCCAAACCCAACTCGGCTTTCCCCTCTCTCAAAACGCAAGGCAGGATTATAAAAAGCCCACACCGCTGGACTGAAGTGCTTTCAAAAGGTTACTCTTTATTTTGATAGCCTGTCACCTACTTCTTACTGGAAAACGGTTCCAGGCCCAGAGAACTTACTGCAGACAGCATAAAAGCACTCAGACTACCACATTCTCCCTCCGACACGAGTTTTCCTTTCAACAGGAAATAAAAGGAGCTTTTATGACCTGAAATTTGAAACACCGGCCCAAGGGCCGTATCAAAATCTACCTGATTCTGAAGTACTGAGTCTTTAAGAATGATCAGAAACCATATGCAGGCAGATCCTTGAACAACCCGGTTTGAACTGCGCGGGTCTGCTTATATGAGGGTTTTCTTTCGCCTCTGCCACCCCGGACATCAAGACCAAGCCCTCCTCTTCCTCAGCCTACACCACGTGAAGACCACAGGCTGGAGGTGATCCACCTCTGCAATGATCTGCTTCCACTTGATGAACAGGAAATATATTTTCTCTTCCATACGATTTTCTTAATAGCACTTATTTTCTCTAGCTTACTTTATGGCAAGAATACAGTATATAAAATAACACACATAACATACAGAATGCGTGCTCGTCGGCTGTTTGTGCTACTGTTAAGGCTTCTAGGTCCATAGTAGCTATTAGTAAAGTTCTGGGGAGTCAAAAGTTATATGTGGAGTTGCAACTACAAGGGAGTCGGTACCCCTAACCCTGAGTTGTTCAACTATACTTGCTTCTTGTCTCCTAACAAGAAGATGACAAACATTCCTGCAAATTTGTTTTTCTCCGAGGAAGGAGGAAAAGTGAAAGTTTGGGACTGGGAAACAAGAGAAAACCCACAGACTTGGAGCGGGACCCACTGAGCCTCAAGGCCTTGAGATGGTTCAACTTTTTATTTTTATTTTTTTTGGCAAATGAGCAATATCTCCCACATGTATAAACAAGCAGTGTAGGGAGGGGTTCCAGCAGGGAGACTCTCTTTTCTTCGTCTACTCCCCCTACCCAAGTGTCATGCACACAAGATCCAGCCCGGACCTTAGGCCACTGTCAACCAACAGCATCTATGATGAAAAGCACGAGGCTGCACAAACTATCAAAACCCAGCACTCCTTAGCTGCTTGCACCCCTTAAAAGTTGTAACTGTAAACTAGAATGAATTCTTTATATTTCAAGTATACCTCTACTGCGAGCAGGTGCAGTAGAGCACAAAAGATAAGAACACAATCATAAAAGCATTCAACCAAGAAGTAAGGGATCGCCAAAAGGGACTAGCTTCGTCAGAGGGAAGGACTGTGCCGTGGAGAAGCCACTCATTGGAGGCAGCTCAGTCCATGTGAAAGCCACCACTAACTCCTCCCTGTGAACCCTAACTAGGTCACACTTGCGTGGCTGTGGCCTCAGGTTACCTCCAGCCCTGAGCTCTTCCCTGAACTTCAGGCTGGGACACAACAGTTTATTAACATTGCCACCTGGGTACTGATGTGGGCCAAATCACACTCCTGATTCCCACTTGGCCCCGGATTCCTTGGGTCACTCCCTTCCCTGTATCAGTGAACATGCTCTCCATTCTTCCAGTTACTTTGGACAAAAACATGGGAGTCCTTCTCTACAAGTTTTCTTCTCTTGTCACCCACAGTGAAGACATCAGCCCCTCCCTTCTCTGCCTTCAGACACATCCAGCCTCTGTCCTGCTCACTTGGGCCCCTGGCCCCGCACTGTCACCTCTGCACACAGGGGGCTTCTCGCTGCGCTTCCTATGTGCACACCCAGGCCAGAAGGATTCAACCATAACTCACGAGCCTTCAGCGCTTCCTTCCTTGGTCACTTAGAACAAAAGGCCACGTCCTCACTGGTGTCTTCAGGGCCCTGTGAGGTCTGTTCCCAGCCGTGGGTCTGAAGGTAACATTTGCCCTCTCTCCTCCATCTCCCCCCTGTTTGTTCTAGCCTCATGGGCCCCTATGCAAAGCACCCCCAGCTCAAGACCTGTCCTTACCACCTGGCTCCCCTCCCTAGCCCACCCTACCTCATTCGGGGTCCCTGTCCAAATGTCACCACCTCAAAACCCCCTTCCCTGCCACCCTGTATAAAAGAGCACGTCCTAGTCACTCTGTAGGCCATCACCAGCGATATTCTTCAGAGGACTAAAGTCCACCTAAAACACATCAACTGACTGTGTGTCTCCTCCACCAAGCTCCACAGGGAGGGAATCTCCCTTGCTCGCTGTTGAATTCCTTGATCAGGACAGTGCTCAGCATACAGCAGGTGCTAGATGTATGCTGAATAACCGAATTAATCCAGGACTGAATCTGTAAATTGAGGGCTTAACAAGGCAGTCACTCTGGTGCGTGGTTCCAAATCTAACACTGGGGTGGTGCAGAGTCAGGCTGCGAGGACAAAGTCTACACTGTCTTCTTCCAAAGGGTGCACAAGTGCCCAGCTGGGGGAAGTTTCCAGACTTCCCTAGGCAGTCAGCCTCCTCAGCAAGGAGAAGGGGGAAAAAAAAAAAACACCCTGCCTGGCTGTTTCACTGCATTCCTGAGTCTTTTTCAAACTAAAGAGAAAACCACAACAAAGTCAGGATCCGTTTGGGGAGATTCTAATGCCAACCACTTAAAATATCTTCTAAATTTTGAGGATTAAGTGGCTCAGAGACTCTTTACGGGAAGCCTGTAAGTATAGCACAAAACATCCTCTTCTGAATTACAGTTAAAAATGGGTTATTTCCAAGCCGGGCGTGGTGGCTCACGCCTGTAATCCTAGCTCTCTGGGAGGCTGAGGCGGGCGGATTGCTCAAGGTCAGGAGTTCGAAACCAGCCTGAGCAAGAGCGAGACCCCGTCTCTACTAATAGAAAGAAATTAATTGGCCAACTAATATATACAAAAAATTAGCTGGGCATGGTGGTGAATGCCTGTAGTCCCAGCTACTTGGGAGGCTGAGGCAGGAGGATTGCTTGAGCCAGAAGATTGAGGTTGCTGTGAGCTAGGCTGACGCCATGGCACTCACTCTAGCCTGGGCAACAAAGTGAGACTCTGTCTCAAAAAAAAAAAAAAAAAAAATGGGTTATTTCCAGACAGGGCGAGCAGAGATACAACAAATTGTTTAGTGCTTGGGTGTGGGGAGGAGGAGGAGGAGACTGCAGCTAGAACAAGACCTTAGCATCTCGCCTTCTTTTTCCAGTCTCAGAATTCCCTTGTGCCTGGGAGCTGAGCACCGTTGTGCTGGGTGGGCCCTGGGGCAGGAGAATGCACGCACATTGCTGGAGGCCTCTCTCCTTGCAGCTCTCTCCTCTCAGACCTCTGCCTCCATCTACTCTCCCTGCACCAGGCAGCCTGGAAACTCTCCAGACAGTCAGCTAGTGCAATTTCAGGACTCGCCTCATTCATTTTTCCATATAGCTCACGATCACTGTTGTTTGTTACCTGATGCTCAGGATGTTGGAAATCATTATTTTGCTATTTTTTCTCCCTAGTTGAGAGAGTAAGTATGTCCCGTCCCATTATGTTACTCAATCTTGGCTGGCAGTGCAAGTGTGGCTATAGGTGTGTTTTTAGTTTTGTTTTGGTTTTTTCCCTATAGGTTTTGAAGTGCTGTTGATCCTGTGAATGAAATATAGTCATATACTGCATAACTACGTTTTGGTCAATGACAAACGACATCTACAATGGTGGTCTTATAAGATTATAATGGAGCTGAACAATTCCTGCCACCTAATGATGTCATGGCCATAGTAATGTCATAGCACATTACTCACACATTTGTGGTGATGCTTGTGTAAACAAACCTACTGCACTGCCAGTTGCATAAAAGTCTAGCACATACAATTATGCACAGTACATAAAATACCTGATAATGATAATAAATGACTATGTTACTGGTTTATGTATTTACTATACTTTTTATCATTATTTTGGCAGGGGTCTTCAAACTTTTCAAACAGGGGGCCAGTTCACTGTCCCTCAGACCATTGGAGGGCCGTTGGAGAGTGCGGTGCACATTCCACGCATGCGCACTGTGGGCCCAGGACGAGTCGGCAGCTAAGCAGGACAGGCAGCGGTGGCAAGAACACCCAGTGGGCCGGATAAATGTCCTCTGTGGGCCGCATGTGGCCCGCGGGCCATAGTTTGAGGACCCCTGTTTTAGAG